GGTTCAGGGTTCCTATTTTGACTGATTTAAACACTGTTTAAATACATTAATTCAGGAATAAAAATAGATTCTAAAATCAGACATTATTTTACAAACAACTTATTTTTTTGAAGTTATCTTCTAGGTCAATCCTCAAGACATTTAGGTCTTTTGCCATTCTGAAGTAACAAAGTTTACTTTGGTATCTCTTAGGGTGAACCCTGTAAATTTTGGGGTCACCACAGATGGACATTAAATTCGATTCAAACTTCTAGTATTTCCTGTTATATATCACATACTATATTGTGTCACTGCAAAACTTACCAAAAAGATGTATCAGCAAAAGTCACATTGACAATAAATCATCAAAATATCTTTTATGCAACCTGTACCATATGGTTTGCTCTCTGAATAAAATCTATAATTATAGAGTTACTGCTGCATAAACTTTTTCATTCTGCATATAATAATAAGTTGAATTCTTTCCCTGGGTATGTCAATGTATTGTAATTTTTAGCAAGCTTGTCTCACTAGATCAGTTAGGATTGATTTGTGTGTTCATCCTCACTGGTACCCCATGCTTGTGGCCTTGTGCCACATTTAGACTATGTTTAGTAAATCATTATATTTGAGTACTTTTCAATTCAGAGACAGATGTGTAGGTGGTGTAATGGATAGTGGCTCGGAATGAGAAATTGCAGAGCAAAATTCAAATTCCAATTGAGTTTATTATGTTCACTTATGCACAAATATCCTTAGGATAGGTCTAAATTCATCTCTTCTCCCCCAGGCTAGGGGTTAAATTGCAGGACAAACTGAACTTTTCAGCCATGGTTGTCAGCCAGTCTAGAAGGACTGTACTGTCCAAATCATGTTGCTCTTTGGCAAGGCATAGCACCTGGAAGCTTAATAGTGTTATGGTGAAGACATTGGCAGAAGGATGTTGGATATGGTTAATAGCAGAATCTAGCAGACCAGATTTGGTGCTGAACTGCATTGGTGCTATGTAAAAGATCCTTCTGATTATGAATGTGATTGAAATATAGAAATTATCTCAATTGTTGGCTATTGTGGCATGTGGCAGTTTCCTTACTTTGCTCAGTTCAGCTGCAGCAGCAATGGCAGTAATCAGCAGGGTACAATCAAGTCATAAAAATGCTGACCAAGCCCTATTTGTCCACTTTTTCATCTTCCTTTTCAGTGGCCTGTACCTCACAGCCAGCTCTCTTTTCCATTTTCTATTTCAGTAACCTCTACATTCAAGGCCCATTTTTTCCACTTTTCCTTTACAGCAGTTGAAACCTTCAAGCCTAACTTGAAGGGCTACACACAACCCTTGTTGCAGAAGACTTGTACCAGTCCTATCAGTATCACACTCAGATTTCTTGTTTCTCCAATGAGAACCAGTGGAGAAATCTCCCTTCAAGACACCTGCCAAAGTAAAAATTACACACAACTCTTGCTACAGAAGACAAGATCTGTCCTACCAATATCACACTCAGATTTCTCATTCCTCCTGTGGGAACCAGCAGAGAAATCTCTCTCTATAAAACAACTACTTAAAAGCCTTCTTAACTGGGAAATCCTACTTTTTTACTGGGAAATACTACTATTTTGCACTCTCTTTCAACCAGAACAATATATTTATAAGCTGTTGATCAGTTATTTTGAGCCTTATTTTTTGTTTATTTTACTGTCATTGCCGAGTACAAACACACATGTAACTGAAAAATTCTCTACAATATTCCAAGTCAGATGGAAACTCTGTGAACACACAGAGTAAAGCTTTGTGCCCCCTAATAAATGTACAAACAAAAACCCAAGGATGACACGTTAACAGCAACAAGAGAGGGTAGTTGCTGTGAGGCATCCTAACAGATGACCTAGTTCAGTTAGATGTGGCACAAATGCTTATTCAGAACTTTCATGTCATTTAATACCTGTCAGCTAAATCTTTATGGGTGTAATGCTATCTTATTCTGGATGTTCTCTTACAACAGTTACTTGAAGGAAACTAATTAATCAAAGTAAATGATTAGTGAATAAGTTTTTTGTCAGGTTGTACAAGAAGGGAGCAGGAAGTGCATATTATGAGGATATGTAGGATAGATAGCAGTTGAACTTAGACTTGAAAAGGCTAAAATTGTAATGATCAGGAAAGGATCTTTTGAAAGTCTGTTTCTCAAAGTAACAGTTGAACTGCAAAAAATCCTTTATACTGGACAATAGATGAGACTTAATTATTCTGAGTTAAAAGAAAACTGCAGGAATGTATAGAGTAGTGCTTTTGGGTATTTCAATGTGGCATAATAATTATTAAGATTGTTTCCTAAATCAATTACAACTGAATAATGAGTTCAATTCTCACTGGGTGCCCCATACTTTTGGCCTTGTGTCACATCTAAGCTACACTTAGAAAAATCATCATTGAGCACTTCAACATAGTGTAATGGTTAGCAAGCTTGTCTCATTAGATCACTTACAAGTGAATAGTGAGTTTAATTTCTACCATCAGTGACTTGATAGCCAAGCTATAAAACAATAAAAAATAGAAAGGTCGCAATAAACAGACAAACAAATCAAAGAATTTATCCTTACTCTTTCTTCTTACATGTCTGGAAAATTTTTTTAAAAAATAAATGTTTATTTTTATAGAATTATTACAATTAATATTAAAATACCAAAATGTGTTTTTTAATTTTTATGCACAGAGATTTTTAAAAATTATATATTTTAGGGTAAAGGAATCATTTTAGCATCTAACTTATACCAATAATATAATTTGTTAACAATTGTAATGAGCCCAACAAACATTGATGACCTAGAGTCACCACTGATATATATATATCACCAAACCGGACTCATAAATAATTACATCGGCTACACAACCACATGTTTATCCAGACGTCTTACATTACACCTATCTGATCACAGTTCCATCAGAACACATTTAAACACATACTCAGATTTACCCGACACTATTAGGAACATACTAGTAGAAAACACTAATATATTAACTGCATCCACTTGCAAAAAAAGACTAAAAATAATGGAAGCTCTAATAATAAAAAAGAAAAAGCCAACTCTTAACAATATCAATTATGAACAAAGCCACAATGTGCTAACCGTATTCAGAAACTAAAACATCACTACCACACACTGAACATACATAGAACACACACTCTACTAAGCTGATAATTGAACCATCCTTGATAATGGCTAAAGATATAGCCGAAAGCGCTCGGAAACACAGAACATTCGGACAGTTCTTACACACTCTTTGTCCAGAAAAGAAAGCTCTTGTCAGAACACAAGAAAAATTAAATAAAAAGCTCAACTGTAGTACCTTGTCTGTTGTTTTTAATGAAACATACATAAAGGAAGGATTGCTGCCTAATTATACAAATATATATATGTTGACTTATTTGCCCAGATTTTACATTCTTGTTTGCTATATTTTCTATATGCCATATCTCTTCAGAATGTGGGCGATCATGACTCTCCACAATTTTCTGTCTTTTGTAGCAATAAGTAAGTTTTAGTCATTTTGCTATCTCTCTTAATCCCTGTTCTGTCAACTATTTACACAGCGTCATTACTCACTATGTCAATATGTCCTGTGAGTGTCAATTTTTCTAAGCTTTTTTCCTCATTATCTGCCATAGAAATGTCAACTATCTATTACATTACTATTTATGTTGTTCTTTTGTAAAGCAGAAATTGTAAAAATTTCAAGCACTGGTTTGTCAAAGATTTGCACAATGCTGAGAGAAAAATCCTCAAGCTGCAAAATAAGAAAGCCAAGCTAATTTTTTTCAAAGGAAATAGGTAGTACATACCAAATACAGGATACAGAATGGAATTCACTCAGTTGCATATTTTCAAAGTCTGATGTTTAAATGGTTTAAACATCTAGTCATGTGTTTCTTTAATCAACTCAACAAAAATTGTTACCCAATGGTGTTGAAGGTACATCTTCATGGTATTGGAAGGTTATCTCTCATTATTACTAATAATACCAGATTCCAGTTAAAAGGCCAGATGATAAAAATAAAATTTCATACCAAGCACCTTCGAAGAGGTAAGTAAAATATCAACATTTATGAATGTATACGTTAGTTTAGCTAAGTAAATATCTAAAAGAAATTCCACGTGTATAAAAAGATTGCAGACTTTCATTTTGGCATGTATTTTTGCTCAATATTTTTTACAAGTGTATTTACAGAGTTTTTAATCTTTTGTGATGCCTGGAACAACCTACATCCAAAATGTTAAAAAATTTATCAAAGTTAAAATTGTTTTAAAACAGAAAATGAAATTCTGCCAACAACTTGTTATCTATGAGAACCAGGAGGGCAAACAAGATACAAATTCTGTATTATCAATGCATCTGTAGAAAGATGTGCCTATATATATATATATATATATATATATTGAGAGAGAGAGAGAGTGGGAATATGCACATCTTTCTAAAATAACAATAATAATAGTACTAAAAATAGCAAAACAGTGTTATGTTTGATAATGAGGAACTTGTTACCACCCAAGTTGGTATAAAAACAGGGCTTGGTGTCAAAAAGAGATTACTATTATACTATGACTTACTCTTAGCCTAATAGTGTATGTGTGGGGGGGTATTTTGGGGAAGGAATTTTCTCCAACCCCAAGCTTTGTTAAGTTTACACTTTTTTGATCTTTAAATGATTCTCTAGCCCTTTTTTTTTTTATTAATCTCCCACTTATTTATTGCATATTGAGAAAAATTCTGTTTCCCCATAATTATTAAGCCCCACCTGTCCTAGGCACCTAAGAATAATTTTCTGTTTCAAACTGAGCAAGACTGTTGTATCGAAGGCAATATGTATATAGGCATCACCTTGGTTGTATCTCTATCCCTCCAAGATTAGTTCTTTTTTAAACATACAAGCATGGAAGAGTTCATTTTTTTCAAATAAAATAAAAATACAGCCACTTAATAATTATAATCAATTAGTCAGGTGAAAGGTTTCATAACAGGCTTACAGTCACATCACATTGAAACACCAGTTCTCATATGATTACTGAAGTTAAGCAATGTCAAACCTGGTCAGTACCTAGTTGGGTGACCACTTGGGAATACTAGGTGCTGTAAGTTTGGATGTGTGGGTGGTGTAACAGATAATGGCTCAGAATTCTTAATCAGAGAGCTGAGTTCCAGTTCAAGTTAAGATTGTTATATTCACTTATGTGGGAAAGATATGAATGCACCTCTTCTTCTCCAAGTATGGGTTAATTAGTAAGACTTGTATCATTAAACCATTATTTTCTCCCCCCCCAATTCTTACAATCTAAATATTTTCTGGCTTTAAATAACCTGCAAAGGGTTGATAAACCATAAACAAATGAATCCCTCAATCAATCAGGGAGCATAACAGACATTTATTCTCATTTAGAAAGTACTTCAGACTTTTGTTTCAGTACTTTCTTGCTGAGGGAATTCTAAATCCTTTCTTTCAGGCATAGTTCATATTTTTAGATCCTGCCTTGCATGTAAATTCTTACTCTATCCAATCTCCACTGTTTCTCTATCCTTAATTTTTAATTATTGCAAATACCTAGAAAGCGTAGCACTGTTGGTGTACTGCAGTAACATTATAAAACCTGTTTGTACACTCATGACGCAACTATTATTTACACTCATGTCAATGGGTAAGAAATATTTCATGTAACAGCCTGGTGAGAGGTATGAAATATAAACTGCTTTGCCAGTTGAAGCCAATCTATCAGAGCAACATCATCTTTTCTCTAGTCTTACATTTTCTCTCACTGTTCATGACCTAACCATCTCAATGACATAATGTATGACCAAGTCAGCAATCAAGTATGACCTTAATTCACATTTGCATGTATTTTAATGGTGTATAAACAAATTATTGTCTTATTAAGTTCTGTAAATAATGTAGACAAAGTGTTTTCTCTCAAACATGCCTTTGTATGTTTTCACTTATGGACAAAGTTTTGATATATTGTGGGTTTAGTAATTTTATTTTTTTACTGATGTTCACCATATACAAGGCCCAAGAGTCACTCAAGAGTATTACTGATTAGGGGTTGTTATGCAAGCAGTAAAATTAAGAGGTGCAGTTTATAAGGATATATGTGAAAGAAAACAGTTAACCCTAGACTTGAAGAGATAAGATTGTAGTGGCTGGGAAAGCATCCTCCTGGGAGTCTTTTCCTACAAACAACAATTCTTGGGAAGAAACTATCCCAGTGTAATGCTTATATTGAGATGCTAATATATTTTTATCTTCACCATCCATTTTTATATTTCCTTCATATAAAAGAAGTTTTGTGTTCAGAGTATTTTTATTTACATCGTTTTTCAGTTTCCCCTAATATAGGTCATCTCAAACTCACCTATCAGCTTCACACTTACCTGGTAAACTAGATTAATAGTTTAATATTTGTCCCCTCACTAAGAGCAGCTCTCCCTATTCCTGCAGTTACCAGAAGTAAGTTAAATTTGTATCACATGTAGGCAGTATTTAGATTTTATGTTTTTTTATTTGTTGGATTATATTTTCTGAACAGCAATAAGTTATTTTATTACAATTTCAATTAAATAGCTTATGGTGATTACAAGTTCTAGCCTTTGCAGCTAAAAGCCACCATGCGATGTACATTGTAGCAAACTACCACCATTCTCTTCGTATTCCATTGGTTAAATGTAAGTTCCACTTGAGTAGCTTCTTCCCAAAAATTACAGCTTTGTGGAAATGCTTCCCTGATCATTACAATCTTAATCTGTTCAAGTTTAGGATTAACCATTATCTTTCTCATATTCCTGCATAAACTGCACTTCTTACTCTGTAACCCTCTACCTCGAGTGGCTCTTGAGCTTGGTACAGGATGAACATCAATGTAAAAAAAAATGCTATTTGGGAAGTGTTTTATAATTAGTGAAAAAATATGCTCTTACTTAACTTTGTTATATGAGGGAGGGGTTTAAATTAAATAGTTTTTCTTTTTCTACTGATATTTTTCTTGTTTTTTTTTCATTCTTTGGGGGCATGAAAAAAAAGCAGAGATTTCTAATCCTCAAGAAAAAATTGGATCAGCACAAAGACAAACTAGGAGAGGTGACTGCCTCCTCCACTACTTTGTCTTCCCCTAAAACAACCACTGCAATAAAATTACAGACAGTATACATTTTGCCTCCCTCACCTGTACCACAAACTCCACCTTCTCCTAATTTTCCCCTTCTTCCTAGACAATTACTTCTGCCCCCTTACACAACATCAGCAACAGTAAGAACAATATTTAAAAAAAAAAAAAAAAAAAAAACACAGTCACTTATCCATTGAAAGAGGCAATAACAAGCAGCCACATATACACACACCCAAAAAGTTATGAAGAAACATTGAAGATTTGTTCCAGTAATGCAGCATCAACACTGAGATGGGGTAAGAAGTATCCTTAATCTTGGCAAAAAACTGATCATGCTACTTAGGTTACCACATCTTTGAAATGTTTTCATAAAATGACAAATGGAACAGGATCTGGTTGACACAATGTATATTTAAATTTATTTCTGATGTAACTAATAGAGAGTTATGTTGATAAATCTGTTTGAAGATACCTAGACAAAGCTCAGTCTACCCTTCTGTTTAAGCCAGAGCTTGAGAAAGATGGGTTCATGCCTTTTCCAAGTGCATCAGTACAAAGTGAATTAAACAGATTCAGTCAGAATTTGAACCTAGTATGATGATTCCATTCTCTGCACTGATTACACTATCCACAAACACACACATACACACACAATCATATGCACACACACACACACACATATATATATATATATATATATATATATATATATATATATACAGAATCAAACTCCGACTAGACAGACACATACACACAATTGAAAATACATCTTATCATTTGATGCCCACTTAGACATACAAGAATTTTCACAAACCTACATACACATTGAATTATCTACAGTTTTAATACATGTGACATGTGACTGAACAATAAGAACTGACCCAAACATAATTGAAAATACCAGGATTCTGTCTTTTTATCTGTTTTCTCTCAATCTCTGATGAACCTTTAATAAAAGTAAAATATTTTAGATTGATAATGTTATATTCCATGCTAATAGGAATATATACTTGAAAAACAAGGTGGATAAAATAAGTAATGGTTTATTGTAAAAAATCAGTATAATAAGAATAAATGTAACAGTTATGCTCAAGGTTGTCACAAGTCAATCCAGTAGTGAGTGCTTCTATTGGAAAGTCGATAGTTCTCGCGTAAGTCTGAGTTATACTCAACAGATCCCAGCTATTGTATTTACTAACCTCCCCATGCAATCAGATGTGGCATAAGGCTGGGTTTAATGTGAGGCATCCGAGCCCATAGGTTCAGCCAAAAATTCCCGTAGAAGCTGTGTAAAATGGGGTCAGGTAGCTGTTTCCCAAGACGAGACTCTGTCCTTTGGCATAGCCTCATTTGGGGATCCTCTCTGCTCAGAGGAAGAAAGTTTGACCACCACAGCTGAAAAAGATCCCAGCTAGTCACTGTAGTCCATTGACTTACAGATACTTATAGATAGTTACAGCCTATAGTGTAGTCACTCATGGGGGTCACAGATTATTTCATTACATCAGATACATGTTTCATATTTGTTCTTTTATTTTATCATTCTGTTGGATTCCAATCTATATTTGATCTGCATTTGATCTTTAAGACACACACACACACACACACACACACACACACACATATATAATATATATATTCAAACATATATTGTTAAATATAACAGACAATGAATGTCTATTATATTTTATCATGAGCCTTTCCAAGCGTTATATAATGGCTTTAGTTTCAAGAGAAAATAAAGATGAAAACTGTCAAACATTTGGATATTTCTTTATTATATTGGTAGTTGACCAAAGTTTCCAGCTTACATGAGCCATCATCAGATGTGGTTATATGGCCAAAAGCTTAGATTGACAACCAGTATAATAAAGAAATATCCAAATGTTGGACAGTTTTGTTTTTATTTTCTCTTGAAACTAAAGTCATTATACAACAGTTGGAAAGGCTCATGATAAAACATTATAGACACTTGTCTGTTATATTTAGCAATATATGTTTGAATAATGATCTGCCTCAGGCTATAGCTATATATATATATATATATATATATATATATATATATATATATATATATATATATATATATGATAAAAAAAAGAATAAGGAAGGAATGTTTCTCTAATAAAAGTGTAGACTGCACTTTTCTTCAGGGTGTAAAATATAAAATTTTCTGGATTAGGAATTATCCAACAAATAGATTCATCATTAGAGTCCAATTAAGCAGCTACCAAGGTCCACAAACATTATTTCTATTGATTTCCTTTGTCAGTTTAAGTGGGAGGGTCATGAGAAATAGAGTATTTTCTCATAAAATGCAAGACATGCATCAACATCTAGAAACAGTTCATTATCCATCTCATATAAGAAATCAGTGATAACAAGGCTCTTTGTGGGAAAGTCTGTGTCAGTATTAGTGATCATCAACAAAATTGTATCAGTCATAATGAGAAACAATTTGAAAATCAATACAATTAAATTGATTTCTTATTTAATAGACCTTTTCTTGTGCATTCCACTCTACATTGAGATCAGCATTGAGATATTTTTTGATCATCTATGTTCCTGTAGTAAAGGAATATTTTAAGGGGTTCTTTTTATATCTTCACTTGGAACTGGTATAGAGGCATACAAAAGTTTCTTTAATTGTAAATAACATACTATTCTCTGGTTCTAGACAGAAGCATGAGGGAGTGATATTTTGATCATCAGAAGAGTGCACAGATAATACACACTGAAACTTGGCTAAGGAATGCAAAGATACTACACTCTGAAACAAGTCAAAGCATACAGATACTACATTTTAATGTTAGGCAGAGCATTGGGAGTCAATAATTTAATCCTTGGCAGCATATCAAATAGTGATAACAAAACCCTAGGTAGAGTGCACAGATACTACACTTTAAAACGTGGCAGAAGATTACACAGATACTACACACTAAAACAAGGCAGAGCATACAAATTCTACACTCTAATCCTAAG